GGCGAGCACGGGCATGGCTGACAACGTTTCAGACGCGCCCGCAGCGAACTCGCCCGCGTCGAGAACCCGACTGGCGTGTTTGACATCTTTCGGCCACGTCCACGCCTGCAAATATGCGTCGAGGTCGTTGCCGTTGACGATAGAAGCGACCGGGCGATCGCTGAGGAAGGCAGCGGTCTCTTTATCAACGGTGCAACCTGCGACATAGACATGCACCCAATCGAAGCACAGCATCGACATGACCCCGTACCCCAAACCGGGGTCGAATGCTATATGATCTGGATGATAGCTCCACCCGCTACGCTGCGTGAGTACCCTGAATCGTTCATCATTTCTCTCGCCAGTATCCATCCGTTCCCAGTGGGGGCGGCTTCTGCGAAGGATCGCAACGACGGTTTCGTCTGTTTTGGTGGCCCACTTGCGCGTGTCTATAGATGCATCTGACACGTGCCAGCCTGTCGCGTCATACAGGCTATAATCGTGCTTCTGATTTACAATGTTCCTGCGAATGGCGCACGGCTTGGTCCCCGCGTGCCCTTTGTTTATGTGCAGCTCCCGCAATGCTTCCTCGTCCCCGATGGTACATTCTAGCTTTGCGACCAGTGTCGCGCTCGCCGCGCCGTCGCCATTCCCAGACGCATCGAGCGTGATGCCCGTAGTCTTGAGATCGACTTCGCCAGCATCGGCGTTGAAAAAACAATCTATTGAAAAGGATGCGCAACGAGTGGCCAATACCGCCTGGAAGTTTGCGCGCCATGGCAACTCTTGCCGCGGACAAGACAGACCACGCGTCTTCGTCGGAAAGATGATCGTCGAACTCCAGGAAGCTCCAATAGATAACATCGGCCCCTTCTATAACCTTTGCCTTTGGCCAACGGGTCTCGCGGCGAGATCCCGTCAAAATAAACGGAAATTCGCCATGGACGTGCTGGCGTACACGGGTGCCTACACAGCTGCTGTCGCATCAGCGACCTGAACCCGCTGCTAGCCTTGCACGCGGCATAAAGCATGGGTCCCGGTGAACACGCCCAGTTTTGGAATGACTGGCCGTTTCCCGATTGCATGCCAATGCGTTGCAGCAAGTGTCCGTGAGGTGTCGTTTCTTGAGCAGCAACTACCTCCTCTGCACGAGATTGCGCAGCCCTTGGGACTGCATCTGGCATGCCATTGTCTCTGAGATGTTGGAATACATGGGGAAGCCCTCGTTCGGAGATGTAAAGTCCGCGGTGGATCTCGACGAGGGCTTCGGCCTCCGCCGCGCGAGACGCGGGCCGCTTTCGCGGCGTCGACGACGCCATGCCGTCGACTGGGGCAAAAAATACCGGTGATATAAACTGATTGCGACGCACTGAGTGTATGTATCGCATGGGCATCACGGGCAAGGGCGCTCCGCAGCACGCGCCATTTGCGAGTGTCGTTGCATCGCACACGATCTCGTCTATGGTCACGTGTTCCATATGTGTTGGCCCAGCAACGCAGATATGCACGACTTGCATGGCGTGCCTGCGTGCTTGCCTCAGTTGCAATGCGCGCGAGGCTCGGTCACAAAACGCGGCTGGCCATACGAATACTCAGCCAATCTCAACAAACGTGACCCCGTCCTGTCACAGGCGACTGGTACAACTGATATGATGCATGCTACATGCAAGACATGACTGGCGTGTATGCGCATGACTTGAACGGCGTTGGGCTTGTGCGACTTACACGACACAATATGCAAACATCTTGCCTGTAGGATTTCCGCTCGCTGCGCTGTATCGGGGTAGGCCGTGATGGATAGCGTGGGGTTGCGCAGGGTACAGTGCACTCGTCGGTGCGGGTACCCTCGCAGAATGCAATATTTGTCGACCATGTCACCTAAGTTGAGTCAACGCTGGTGGCTCTGATTGTTGTGGCGAGACATGCCGCGGCCGTGGAACTGCAACGAGATGCGAGGCACTGACAACATACATAGCCCACAAATTCAATCATGCATGCGTGCGCCCTAGCAGGTCAGCATAAGGCGAGACTATCGTCGCTGTTAAAGGCTGACGCGACGCAGTCAAGCATGACGATCACAACACACGAGCGATCGTCAACGAATGCAAGCGCCTTTGCAAAAGCCTCACGGCGGGTGTAGCACCCCTTGCCCCAGCGGACCCGTATGCCCGCTCTCCCCACGATGGCCCTGTAGGTGCTCATCTTCCAGTTCGTGGTCATGGTGCCAACCCTGTAATGCAGGGGCGGAGCTCCCTCGCCCATGGGAGGCGCTGGGAGCTTCGACGGCTTCGCGGTGGACTTCGCCGCGGCGGGCTTCTTCTGGACAGCCTTCGCGGCGACCTTAATCGCCTTCGGTGCTGGGCCGCCGCGCGCGGCCGGTCGCTCGCGCGCCGCATCATCCTTATCCAAGTCGGAGGGGGTCGGCGGCTGCAGCAGGGCGGCGCATTGCGGCGCGAGTCGACATGCTCTTGCGCACCGCGGCCCCCTTATCCAACGAGGAGGGCTCGCCAGGCGGCGCTGCCGCTGCGACTGGTGCGACCTCAGCCACGGCTGCCGGGGCCGCTGGGGCTGCTGCCTTGGGCGGCGGCGCGAGCCCTCGCGCCGGCAACCAATGCGGCGGCGTCGCAGGCGGCGGCACTGCCGACCATTGCGACGGCGTCGCAGGCGGCGGCGCGGCGGCGGCAGGCCATGGCGTGGCTGAGGAGCACGTGTGCCAGGCCATTCCCGAACGTGCTCTCGTGCGCCCCGAGCTCGGATGGCGACATGGCCGCTGCAGGCGCTATGGCAGCGCCCGCGAGGCTGCGCTCCGACATGCCGGCGCCCCTGTGGCTCGCCCTGGCAAAGACGGGCGCCTCGATCTCCCATGCGTCGCCAGACGGGGCGCCGTCGCTGCGCGCTGCCTCGTGCCGCGGCTCGGCCATGATACCCGAGGGGTTGTCGTGCTTCAATATCGTGCGATGCCGCCGTGACGAGCTTTGCATAGCTCCGAGGCCCTCCTTGGCCTTCCGCAAGAGCTCGCACCACGCCCGACCCGTCGTCTCAACGTTACTAGCCCTGGCGACCACGGCGGCAATGTGCCCTGTGGCCGTCTCGCTCAGCGTGTACATGCCCAATGTGTGGGCAAGCTTGGCGACGACCTTGATCATTGCTCTCTCGGAGAGATTGCCGCTCTTCAGCCAGTCGATCTCGCTTGCCGTCATGAACTTGGGGAGAGCAACAACTTCCTGCTACCGCTTATCCCCCGCGTTAGCACTGCCGTGGCACTTCGTGCCGACTGCGCTGCACAGTTCAGTGATCTGCGCCTCAGTCCACTCGAGCAGCGTGCTGGTGCGAATTGCGGCGGCGAGTTCAGTTGCCTCCTCCGCGGAGATGGTCGAGAGGCGCTTGGTCTTAACAGTGAGGCTATCGACCTGCTGATTGGCGCAACTTGTTGGGTCCAGCCCGCATCCAATCTGAGTCTGCACCCAATCTATCCTGTGACTTCACTCTGCGATGATGCAGGGTGCAGCGGCCATGACTGCTGCAGCGCAGCAATGTCCTCTGCTGCAGCGCAGCACTGCCCTCGAGAGCGGGGCGGCCAACGCGAACAAACTCCCTCGAGCCTAACCGGTTACATCAACGACGGCAATTCCGACAATGCGTGGTCGCGCGATCACATCGCTGGCGGGGGTCGCTGGGCTCGTCGCGGCCATTGCGTCCGCGCTCCACGTTCTCCGATCACCCCCTCCCAAGACGCGGGTTCACCATCGCCCACCCGCAACGACGCCCATCGTTCGGCAAGTGCGGTGGCGGAGATGGTGGCGGCGATGATGGTGCCCCCCCCGCTGAATGTTCCTGCTCTCCCGCAGCGTGCCGCATGATGGCTACGCGGTCTGTCGCAATGGCGATGCGTCGCCCATCCACTAGGTCCGCGGGGCGCGCTCGGCCTTGATCCGAACTGTTCGGCCACCTCACGGATACTGTCCATCGGCATGCCGTAATCGTCGGGTTCGGCCGCCTCGACGATCCCGTCCGTGGCGGTTTCAGGCCCGAAATCCTCGGGCCAGGTGGCGAAGGGGTCCGTGTCCTTGCGCTCCAAAGAAAGCCCCCCCACTTCGACGGGGTCCATCAGCACATGCACGGGGACGTGGATGCACGTGAAAGCTGCGCTGGGCGGTCGGGCGTCGCACGTATCGAAGGCACAAAAGTGATGCAGCACACGGCCCGCACCCCCACGCTCGACAGGGTTGGCCATCCACCACGCCGAATACTCGCCACTGCGACACACCTGCCGTCCACGGGCGAACGGACCACCGCTCGTGGCAGCACGTGCGCCGTCGATCCTCTGCGCGTGCTCTCCCTGGGCCTGGTCTCGATCGTCGTAGGCGGCACAACGATCGACACGCCCGACCTCGACCAGATCCGCGGCAGGCTCTGACTGGCGATTTGCAGCACCAACCTCTGATTCAAACTCCGCGTCCTCGGCCTCCCCCGCCATCCGCGGGCGTCTCAAAAAGGTGAACGGGCGACTAGGGGCGAGCGGGACGGGAGAGGGCCAGCAGCTGAGGGACGACCATGCCCCAAAATAATTTGAACCGAAGAAGATATCTACGGATCTGGACCTCAGGTTTCACATGAGCTCTCAACGGATGCGGCGTTTCCAGACTTCGAGCGTTATGTTACAATCGTGCCGGTAACTACTTATACATATACACATAGAGAGAGAGAGTGGGAGAGAGAGTGAGAGAGACAAAAGAGAGAGAGAGAGGGAAGGAGCGAGACTGGGAGACGGTATAACATAATCTGGGATGACGAGAATCGGACGAGAAATCTGAACACCGCTTCTGACATGATCCCCCGCCATGCCCCCGTGCAGCGAGGCTCATAGCACTCGTGCTACCACGCCGCGACTGCCATGTCCGAGGCTGTGGCTGAGGGTTTGAGGGGGAACGATGGCGACGAATAGGCGATTGGGGGTCGACTCGTCCCCGCCTGAACCTATCCCCGCCTAACGTTGCCCCTGAGGGAACTCTCCATCCCGCCCTCCTGTAATGACCCGCGTGCTGTCGGGAGAGAATTCGGCGACGAGCACGTCGTCCTCGTGGCCCTCCAATGTGCAGACGCACGAGCCGTCCTCTGCGTTCCACACGCGCGCGGTATGCCCTGCGCACGTCACTGCCTTATGCAGGGGTGTCGTGACCAAGCCACGGAGAACTGTCCCGGATTATCTGGCGGCCCGGGTGGCCAAAGACTGGGCCGGACGAGTCTGGCCTGGCCCGGCACGGTTCCGACATTCAGCACGGCGCGATCCTATAACCGAAAACAACGCAAGGGATTAGATGAGGGCGGCGAGGGAAAATGCAGGAGGGAAGAGGATGGGGGAGGGCGTGGGGGGAGGAGGAGGAGGAGGAGGAGGAGGAGGAGGAGGAGGAGGAGGAGGAGGAGGAGGAGGAGGACGAGCAGGAGGAGGTGGAAGAGGAGGACGACGGGGAGGAGGAGGCGGAGGCGGAGGAGGCCCAGGCGGAGGAGGAGCAGGATGAGGAGGAGGAGGAGCAGGAGGAGGAGGAGGAAAATAAGGAGGAGGAGGAGGTGGCCGGCGGCGGCGGGCGGAAAATGAGACAGGGGGCGTGGCGGAGAAAGGAGGGGTGGGGGCGGAAGGAGAGGAGGAAAGGGAGGAAGAGGGGAAAACGCTCGGAACATCTGGGCTGGTTATAAATTTTAGCCAGCCCAGACCAGCCTGGACAGGGACACGTTCGCTTATGGCATCAAAGAAGGTCGTGGTGCGAACGGGTCCTGGTCCCTGGGGCTTTCCCCGAGATCAGCTGTCCTGCATTCCAGATCGTCCACGGTTGCCCCTCAGGAGCCCGACAGCGGCGAACACCTTGAAAGACCCCTCTTCCCCAAGACCCCTTTTCTCCATGAAGGTGCCTTCGCGGAACCACAGGTTCAACTGTTGATCCCCGAGGCACTGCGGCGTTGCAGCGGTCGCAGCTCTCTCACGCCTTCGTGCACGCAAGCTCGCATATGATTTCCGACAGATCTTGCCAATACGCCGTCAATGCGCGGCTGTTTGTGTGTGGGTGGGGAGGCAGACAGGTACCGATACCGCTACCGCTCTGACCTCTCCCAGGGTGCGTTCTGACCAGACTTTTGACGCGAATCCGTCGGTGGCGACGAGGGCCTCCCAGGAGGCTCGAACATGGGAAAAACAGGCGAAGGGTAGCGGTATGGGTACCTTTTCCTCCTCTGAGTGGGGCCTGCGTGCCGCTCAGCATCTCCAGCGTCAGCAGCGCGCCGTGGCCGACGCCGGCGGCGGCCAGCGTCTCCCCCGCGCTCAGCAGGGCGCGGTGCCCGAGCGCCAGGCGCTGCCGCGCGGGCGGCAGGCCTGTGACCTCCTCCAGCGCCGCCTTGAGCTCCGAGATGTGGGCGGCGGGATCCAACGTCAGGACAGCAAGCCACCACCGTGCCCCCTGGCACGTTGAGGCGTGCTGTAATGGCAAGTGCTGCCCGGTAGGGTCTCTGTGCTCATCAAGGCCCTCCTTCTCTCGCCACGCCATCATCATTATCCGCCACTGTGCCGCTGGGCACGGAATGGGCGTGTCCTCAGGTCCTTCCACTACCCCCCTGAGCCTCAGTCGTCACTCCTGAGGAGTTCTGAAAGGCCCGGACACCACATTCTCAACTCTTCTTGGGCTTCCCGCGGTTCCCCTGGGGCGTGCCGCGTCTTGTCGCGTGACTTCTTCGGGCCCACAGGGGCACTAAGACGGGCTCAGAGGGCTCCCACAGCCCGCAAAGACGGTCCAAGAGGGCCCCGAGTCGCCGCACGATCGCCTCGCTTCAAGACGCTCAAGATGGCCCCCAGACTGCCGAAAAGGCCTCCAAGACTCCCAACTAAGCCTCCAAGAGGCTTCCCAAGAGGGCCCCAAGAGGCCAACATCATTGACTTTCCTCATGTGCTTGAAGGATTTTGGCGTTCTCGCCTTTTCGTCTTCCCGACGTTCCCAGAGCCCCCAAGACCGCCCCACGACGGTCCAAGAGGCCTCCAAGAAGTCCCCTACGCTGACCAAGAGGATCCCAGGACAGCGCAAGAGGCGCCCAAAACTGCCCAGGAGGGCCCCAAGACGGCCCCAAAAAGGGCCCCACAGAGGGAGCACGAAGCGAAAATCCAAGCCTTCCGCCCCAAGAGGCCCCCAGGAGGCCCCAAGAGGCGCCCAGGAGGCCCTACCAGACCCCTCAACGGCCGTCAAGAGGCGTCCAAACTGCCTCCGCGAGGCCCCGAGAAACCTCCCACGAGATCTCAACGAACATCCAATCGGCTTCATCCCCAAAACCCAGGCACGGTGGCGGGATGGGCCGAAGGCCATTAGATCCGCCGCCCCCTGCTTGCAGGGGTGCACGTCGTGCTGGATGTTTCAGGTTTTGGTTTTGGTCCTTTTCCAAAAGAACTTCCTAGTGGGCTCCGGCAGAACCCGCCGGCCACCCGGAATTTCCCCAAACGTGCTCAACGACCGCAAAAAATCCTCCAAGAACGGCCGTTTCGCTCGGGACATCCTCAAAAAATCGCGAAGATGGCCCAAGATGGCCTCCAAGTCCGCCCGAGATGGTCCAAGACGGCCTCCAAAACGGCCCAAGAGAGTCCAAGACGGCCCAAGACGGCCCAAGAGGCCCCCCAGAGGCCTCCCAGACGGCCCAAGAGGCCTCCAAGAGGTCCTCCAGGAGAGTCCGAAGAGGCCAAAATCATTGATTTTCCATTGGTTTTTGAAGGATTTTGGCATGATTGGTCCATTTTGCCAGTGGCACATGCTGCTTGAGGAAACGAACGAAGCACGGGCAAGCTAGGCTGGCTAGTGCGACACAGATTTGCTCCAGGCACGGATTAAAGGAGGCATTGGGCTGGCGAGGGCCGAAGAGAAGTGCCTGTGAGATAAATGGCGGCAGACATTCACAATCATTCCCGTGCATCACTTACATGATTGGTCCATTTTGCCAGTGGCACATGCTGCTTGAGGAAACGAACGAAGCACGGGCAACTAGGCTGGCTAGTGCGACACAGATTTGCCAACCTTCAAAAAACCCGACCTCAAGCATTGAACTGGGGAGTTATATTCCTCGCATGTGTTTCCACCTTCCAATGGACTGCTGGGCTATACACGACTTGTGCAGGCTGTCAGCCAAGAGTGCACACAGAGCAGAAGGGTAGGCGTTTTTCATTAGCGTGCAAAACTTGTTGCCAGAAAAACCTGTGAGCTCCACGTGGGGCTTACGGGAGAAACTACATATACCTCTGCCAGTGCATACTAGTTTATCAAGACCAGGGTGGGGCGCACACTTCCAGAACCGAATCCTGGTTCGAGCTCTGAAGGGGCGCCCACAGGCACAGTAGTCCACAACTTTATCACACACCTGAGGGAGCTGGGCGAAGGAGCGACGATCAGGGCGAAGCCACAGAAAGCTCTGCCAGGGATTTTCTTCGGCTCCTGGCACATTCAGTTTATAACACAGGCGTTGAATTCGCTGGGACACCCACCCTAGCCTATTGGAGACAGTGAGGTTTTCGAGGTCCTTGCCCGAAAGACCTGGGAGACCCATGGGACACGAGGGGCTTCTGAGGGCGGAAGGCATCTTGCTGTGCCTAGGGGCCCGTCGGGCCCTCGAGTACCCACTGCAGGGCGTCCCAAGAAACACGAGCTTTACAAGGCCAGAAGAAATCCAACCTCTCAAAACCTTAAAAACAGCCGGACGAGTCAGATCAAAATGGGCACCGTGGCGAAGATCCCATTCGATGACCGCCTCTCCTCTCTGCCTCAGGTGTTTACTCAATTCCCCACATCCAGAGAAGACTTCTATGCATACGCGGGACTGGTGCGGCGCGGAGCGAAGTGCAGCACCAAGGACTTGTTGAAGGCGAGCGCGCAGTCCTGTCCTCTGGCTCGCAGGGCCTCGCGCTGCCTGGACGACAGCTTGCGAAGCTCGAGGGACAGACGGCCATGCTTCTCGTACCTGAGCACTGACTTGAATGTCTTCCATCCTCCGCGCTGCTGGACGCCGCCTAAGCTTCTGACGCCCATGCTGCGGTCCTGGCTGGCCCCTCCATGCCGGAGGGAGTAGAGGGTGGGCCTGAGTGCACCCACATCCAGCGCCTCGATCGCGCTCTGGAAGTCCTCCGCCAGCTCTGTGTAACTCAGGCCCAGGAACAGCGCGTCGGGCTCGCGAAGGGCTTGAACGAAGGAGATCGGCTTCACCAGCCACTGTTGCCTCTGGAGGTCGAGGGGCACTGAGAGGTCGTACTCGTTGGTCTTCGTGGGGACTTCGTACTCCGATGCTCGCACCACAAAGGTCAGAAAGGCTGAGGCGCCACCTTCCTCCGGAAGGGGGAGCACCACCTGGCGGGCTCGCAAAGCCAGAACCTCCGACGGGCGCATGTAGGTCTCGAACATTATCACGATGGCGAGGGCGCTCAACGGCTTTCCAGCTTGGCACAGCCAGGTTGCCGCCGCCAGCATCACGAGGTACGGCACGGGCGGCCTGGACTTGGAGGGCTCCAGCACCCCCCATCCTCGCAGCGTCTGGTGGGTCAGCGGGAAGACTTCGCGGATACCAGCCGTATGCAGGTGGGGCTCCGCCCACAACAGTGCCGGGGCCAGCCGCTGCGTCGACGCCTTCGAGCCCCCCCTGTCGTAGATCGACTCGATGTACTCGGCGAGGGTCTCGTCCCAGGTCTGGCGGCTCCAGTCCGGGAGGCAGCCCAGACACAGCCAGCGAACCAGACCAAGGACAGCTCCAAGATACAGCTGCTGCGTGGCGAAGCGCACCTTGGCCGCCGCAAGCCGCGTCTGGCGGGGGCACAGGCGCCGCCTCCTCTGGTCGAGGTCTCTCTCCCAGGGATCCTGGCCACGCCTTGCGCGCCGCCCAGCCGCGACGAGCCTGCTCCTTGGCCCAGCCAGCGCCGGGACGCCTGCCGCGCGGGCCTGGCGACGAGGTGAGCGCCGCCGCGCCCGCGCCTGCGGGCGACCCGTAGGGGGGCTGCCATTGCCCCGCGGCTGCTGCACCGTCAGGCGCTCCACCGTGCGGCTGCAGGGCGAACGGCTCCTGCGCAAGCTCCGCTCGCGAAGGGCGGAGCGGGGGCGGGGCCGCCTCGCTGGGCTCGCCGGCGTCGGCACCTTTGCCTGCAGCGTCGCCACCTCCATCCCGCCCGGCGTCGGCAGCCGCGGGGACCCCGTCGGGGCCGCGAGGCTTGGGCTGAAAGCGACGGGAGGGTGCATCACTTGGGTTCCACTCGGACGGAATCCACCTCACCTGGATTTTAAGATCGGCGGCAATACCCACAGCAAGCAGCACACGACAGACTCCCAGAAGACGATGGTTAGCCGCTCGACCCTTTGCAGCCGCAAGGGTGAGAGACATGTTGTCGCCCAGAAAAAGCCTGCGGGCGCCGTGCTGACGCGCATCTCTGCCGGCCCGCCTCACGGCCCAGGTGAGGGCGGCGCCCTCGAGCCCGTGGATGGCTTCCTTCCGCTTCCACCTTCCGCAGCCTACCACTCGCCAGGTCCTGGACTGCAGCGTGCTGTGGCTGACCTCCGGAAAGCGGGTGGCGCGCCCGACGAGCAGCAGGGCGGGGTCGGGCGCGCAGGCGACCTCGTGCTCGAACGCCCTCTCGCGAGGCGCGCCCTCGGTCGCGAGCACGCCTCTGAAGCGGGCGCGCTCAGACACCCTCCCCGCGCGCTGCACGTCGCCCAGGTCCCACTCGGTCTCGACGACTCCATACCCCCAAGGGGAGGCGTCGAAGCACGTGACGAGCTCCGACCAGGGCCGTCTGGTGTCCGACCTGAGGCAGGGCAGGAGCGCCTTGACCCAGCCCAGCTCGCGGAGGACACTCTTCCAGAGGGGCTGCCGCTTGGTGTAGGAGGCCTGCACGAACTCGCACGAAGAATGAAGCAGAGCCAGACCTTCACGCCGCAGCATGAACGCTGCCACGATGTGACCAATCAGGCGCTCCAGCTCCTGGCCCGAGACCTTGACTCTCCGGGAGAGAAGGTGTTCGAGCGCGCCATACAGGCGCCACAGACGGCGGCCAGACACCTGCCAGCAGCCTGTGCGAAGGTCAAGCTCGCACCCGAGCAGCTCGCCCACCTCGCTGGCAACTCGGACACCACTCCCTTGGCCGCGAGCGCCGCCTTCATGTCATAGGCGGCCTGGGCAGCGCGCTGGGGCGAGGCAGACAGCACGGCGAAATTGTCGATATACAGAACCTTGGCGTCCTCCACGCTCAGGTCCATCCCCGGGTGCTTGTCCACGCACCACGGCTGGGACGGCAAAACTGACTTGACGATGTGGAGGTGAGCCTCCTGGATGAAGTGAACGGCCCAGTTCCAGCCCATCGGCACGACCTTGAAACGAAAACGGACCTGGCCGCTCTTCCCTGACAGCCCACAGGCGTTCCTGACCTCGAGCGGCAAGAAGCGACTCTGAA